AGTCGAAGTCTTAGTAAGGCCACACGGTTTGGAAGTGGTCTTCCTGGATTCATGCTAAGACATGTATTGCACTCATTAAGAATTGCCAAATTCTGGAGGGATTAGGTAGGGAGAAAAAGGCCAAAGTGAGCAAGTAGTATTCCCTAGATTGGCAAACACATTCTCTAACTTTTGGAAACGTAGGCTTGTTTTTAAACTGGCAAACAGTGACATTTTAAGAGACATGCTTCCATGGAGACAGGTAGATAGTAAAACTCACTGACTTAGCAAACCACAAGTGAACTGAATTACACTGATTGCCTTGGCTAGCTTAGGCTGAGATAAAATCTCTCAGAATCTGTATCCCAATAGATGACTCAGATAAGCTTTCTTGAAGTCCAGGTACTAGCATTCCAAAGGCAGACAGTTCCTTTGGACAAACCTAGACTAATATTCCCTGCCCGAGTCGGCACTCTTGAGGAATGGGAATTGTTTTGTTGTTGATTTGGGGGAGAAAAGCCTACAAGTTGAGGGAAGCCTACAAGTTGCCCCCAAGCTTCCCACCTGAGCCAGCTGGGGAAGGACACTGGCCCGCAGCCCACAGTCTTCTCACGCCCGAGACAGACTCTTCCCGAAACAGTAATACAGCTGCCCAGCTGTGGGGCCTTTACTCGCCGTGGAAGATTCGGACGGCCTCTCGCCTTGCTGGAGGCTTTCATCCCAAGTCTGGGTAGAAGTCTGGCTCTTTTAACTTGCTTCTGACGGCGGGGCCAGAAGCCTGTCGCTGCCTCATTTTTCTAAGTCTTGGTCCCTTAAGATGCTTGGTAGTGTGACACCTTCCCTTAAGAAAGGAGTGAGGGCCTGGCCGGTTTGGCTCAGCGGTTAGAGCGTCAGCCTGCAGTCCGGAGAGACCCGGGTTCGGTTCCCGCTAAGGGCACGTACCTCGGTTGCAGTTTGTCCCCGGCCCTGGTTGGTCGTGCGGGTGGCAGCCACTCGATGTGTCCCTTTCACATCGATGTTTCTCTCTCTCTCTCTCTCTCCCTCCCACTCTATCTGAACAAAAAATGGAAAAATGTCATTGGATGAGGATAAAAAAAAAAGAATGAGCATTTGCTGTTAATTTGACTGGATAGAATTTAAAGGCCCAGGCCTTGGGTTTAAATTATTTTGAGTCGGTTTCCAAGATTAGGTAACAAAAACCTTTCATTTCTCTGAGCACCTGTGCATTGGAGGCTTTTTCTGTTAGCTGTGTCAGTGGAAGAAGCATTAATGACAAGCAGTAACATTGTAACAAGTTTTATTCCATTGTCTTCTAACTTCTGTCCGAAGCAAGAGGGGACAGACTTCTGCTCTGAGCGGAGTGGCTTCAGGGACAGCTTCCGCCCTTAAGCAACATGGCCGCCAAAGCAGAGCAGCCTCGCTGCCGTTACTGTTCCTCAGTGAGCAGAGAGAGGCCCCGCAGCCAGCAGACCTCTTCATGGAGGAATTCATTCCGGACACCGCCCCCTTCCTCCCCAGCACACAGCCACGAGGTCCGAGCTGTGCACCCGAGCTGTGCACCCTGTGCCTGCAGGACTGGGGGAGAAGGGGCGTCTCCAGGCAGCCTGGGTGGGGCTTAAGTTGTCTGCAAGCACACTGCTCCAGGGAAGGGGAAGGAGGCAGACTTCCCACCGAGGATGGGGTGGAGGAGCCAGGCCCCATGGCTGGGGTTTGATGGCCCCTCCTGGGCCTAAGCCGACTGTGGGTGCTTGGGTTTCATGCCCCAGGAGTAAACTTCAAGGCAGTAATAGTGTATATTTGCATATTGCCCTGGGGTGTTTCCAAGTCTGAGAAGGGTGGGAAAGAGAGAGGAGAAGCCATAGAAATGGCGGCAGAATGCAGAGGTGGGGAGAGAAGTTCTGCAGACTGGGAGGAGAATTTGGGCCATCTGTGCACCTGGCTGGGCACATTCGAGCCTGCCAGAGGCAGTGCAGGGCTGAGTCAAAGAAACGGATCAGGACAAGAGAGAGGCGGACAAATGAGTAACAAAACCCCCAGTTTAGGGAGGGGAGGTTTCATCTCCCCAGAGTCCAGAGAATCCAGGCCAGGTTTTCATTCTTCCCCATGCAGGCCAGACGCAGGCTGAAAAGCTGCAGGGCCCTGGGGCAGGGTCTGCTCTCTCCTCCCTTGCTGTTTCTTCCTCCGAGTGCTGGTTTGGAGCTGCAAGAGGGAGTTTTCCACAAGTCCATTCTCCCGGTTCTCACATCTCTGAGGTTGTTTTTTTTTTTTTTTTTTATCCTCACCCGAGGACATTTTTCCATTTTTTGTTCAGGTAGAGTGGGAGGGAGAGAGAGGAACAGAGAGAGAGAGAAACATCGATGTGAAGGGACACATCGAGTGGCTGCCACCCGCACAACCGACCAGGGCCGGGGACAAACTGCAACCGAGGTACATGCCCTTAGCGGGAACCGAACCCGGGTCTCTCAGGACCGCAGGCCGACGCTCTAACCGCTGAGCCAAACCGGCCAGGGCTGAGGTTGTTAATGTTAATGGAGAATTGTGTGGATTGCCCTTCTCCGTCACTAGTGGGAGTGGAGTTCTTGGGGCACCGCTGGAATAAGCATTTCTGGAGGCCCCCACAGGAGAATGAGATGTGGTAAAAAGCTTTATTTGCATATAGTTACATCCCCAATTTCTAAAGTCCCCGTTCCCTTAACCCAGGCCTGGAAAAGGGGCAGCTGGGGTTTCAGCAGAGCTAGAAGCAGGGCCAGTGTCTGGAGTTTCTGTTCCATGGTGGAGTTGAGTCCAGCGCAGCATCAGGCTAATCTCAGTCCATTCGTCCGTTGTGTGGGGTCCATGTGGGCCATGTGGGCGGATACAGGAGCACGAGAGCCCTGCAAGCCAGGAGTCAACCAAGAGTCCAGGAGAGCAAGGGCGCAAAAGAACAAGCCGGGAGAGTGAACTCCTTTGTTTAGGAGACTGAGCATCTTAAATCTTCCTGTGCTTGCAGTGGCCACGCCTACTTTGGCCAGTGCCCTGTTCCCAGGTGTGATTGACAGTCAAGCACCTTCCCATGTCACCCAGACCTTGCTGGGCATGTGTCTGTTGTCCAGTCCCTTCTCACATCGATCTGCAGGGAACAGACTTGGAGAATGTTGAACTGCAGCTTTCTGGCAAAGCTGTATAAATGGCATGCCTATATGACCTAGTCTTCCCTTTGCTCCTTTCCTGTTAATTAATAACCAGGTTATTACAAGGGTATCCAAATCAATGAATAAATTACTCTCTGGCTAGTCAAATTTTGGCTGGTCCTTTGAAAAAGTGCTTTTGTTTCCTGGTCCCCAGGTATGCCAACCCCCAAACTCTCCACTGAGGTGACCTTTATTGGTGAAGTCTCTCTGGCCAGGGTTATTATCAGCTCAAGCATTGATGCCCCTTGAGAATTTTATTGTTTTATTCCTCGGGGCTCTGGTGACATATTCCAATGGTTATCTCATGTATCTTTTTCTCCTAGGTGAGGTAGCTCTTAATACATGTATCTCCCCTCTTCCTCCAGATCTCTGGCAAAAGCATTTCTACGTTCTTGATTTCAAAAGAGTACAACAGAAGTGTTACATAGAGCAAAATTGCAAACTCTTTCATGGAAGAGAGGTTCAGGGAGTGGGAAGAGGGCTGCCTGCGTATCGTCCCGTCCTCAGCTCAGACAGCCCCGGCCCAGCGAGAACGTCCCTGCGTCCCTGCGCTCCTGTGGCTCTGTGCGCCCCCTCCGTTCTGTGCGCCCCCTTACGGCACGTGTCATCCGGTGTGCACTCTGAGCATGTGTTGGCAAGGTCCCGAGGGGCTTAGTCTCCTGCACTTTCTCAATACGTGGTCGTCTGAGTGACGAGAACTTTCGCGCTGAGATTTCGCAGATCTCGGGAGAGCTTGTGTTCTGGCACGGCTGCCCCCATCCAGGATCGCTCTGGCTGGGGGAGTCGGGATTCTCCTGGGCCCCTGCCACACTGGAGTTTCGCTCTCCCTTTTTTTTGCCCTTGTTAACTTGGCTGCAGATGATATCCTTGGAGTATGGCAACAGCATGCCTGGGTTCAGATGGACCATTTATAACTAAGAAAGCTCCATGAGTCTCCATTACATAGAACTACGTACTAGCTGCTCACTGAAGAACATTTGGAAAGTAAAGGCAGAGTAGAAAAGTTGTTCGGGAAAGAACCCTATTTTTCCTTTACTCTTGAGTCAGTGCTTGTGACACGAGATGTGTGGGTTTTCCCCATGCCAACCGATTCTCCGACATCAGCTGGGTGTCCTGCAGTCTGGAGTTAGCGTCACGAGTTACAGGCTCAGTCCCCCAAGACGGCCCCCGCTCCAGACACTAATTGAAAGTCCCAGATTGTCCCTGGCCCTTCTGACCTGTCAGCTGTACGCCAGAGTTCCCACGACCCAGCCTCAGGTTTAATAATTTGTTAGAACAGGTCACAGAACTCAGGGAAACGCTTATGTTTGCCAGTTTATTATATACTGAAGGACACGATGAGGGTACAGGTGGACAGCCAGATGGAGACATGCAGGACGAAGTCAGAGTCCCCAGTGCAGGAGCTTCTGACCCTGTGGGGTTGGGGGCACCGTCCTGGCACGTGGGTGTGTTCACCAGCCTGGGAGCTTCAGGAAGCCCCGGGTGAGGATTGTTATGGAGGCTTCATCCTGTAGACATGACTCATGGACTCGTTTTCCAGCCCCTCCCCCGAGACGGGATGAGCCTGGAAGTTCCCAGCTTCTGACCACGGCTTGTCTTCCTGGTGACCATCACCGTCCGGGCGCCGCCTGGAGTGATCTCCCCGGAGCAGGAGTGCTCCTTGTACTCGGGAAATGACAAGGGTCTTAGAAGCCCTACTTCAGGAACTGGGGTCAAGGACCAAATAGTAACAGAGACTGGGGGCAGAGGGCAGCACACACATTTCTTACTGTCTTACAGGCCGATTGTGATTTTCTTCTTTCATCCACCTCTCCACCCCTCTCACTTTTCTACCCTCTTGTCTCCTTGCAGACATTGTTGAATTTGCCCAAAAGATAGGTATCGATCCCACCAAGGAGCCGGAGCTGATGTGGCTGGCGCGGGAGGGCATCGTGGCCCCGCTGCCCGTGCAGTGGAAACCCTGGTAAGTGACGTGGCGTGGCGGGCACCGGAGATCGGCTCTGACTACCACCCTCCAAAGCCGCCTGCTGGGAGCCGGGCACAGCGAGGGGCACTTCTCCGCTGGGCTGCCTGAGGTCCCCCTGGGGTTCAGCACGTACACCCGGGGTCCAGCGGCCCGGGTCAGGTCCTCTAGCACCAGCATCTGCTCTGGACACACTCGAGGTGTCTCTATTGTTCCTCGCACCAATGTTGAGACCTCGTCAGCACGTCCAAAAGGGTGCTGGTGCTAGAGAGGTTGGTGGGGGGCTGCAGACGCTGGCGAGTGCGTCATCTCCCTTGGCAACCCATCCCTGACTTGAGTCATCTCTTCATGAATACGTTCAGTTCGTTCACATTCTCGGGTTCAGCTCTTTGGACTGTGAGGAGCAGAGACTCACTCGGATTACTCAGGGGGACAGGTTGGTGGTGAGGAAACAGACCGCCAAGGCGGGAAGCTAAGGGGGTTGCCGCTGCGTCTCCCTCCTGAGGACGGTCCACTCCTGCTCCTGCTCCTGCTGTGTCCTCCGTTCTGCACGTCGTCCGCTCTGTCCTCGTCGCGTGCCTAGAGCTCCCCCAGCTTGTGTCTCTAAAGTGGGTGCATCAGTTTACCTCCTACCGTAGCAGGGACTTCCCTAGGCTGGTCCTGGACTCGTCCCCAGGCTCGGGTCCTCTTGTACGCTGGTACTATGCCCTTGTAGTGTGCACGGTGTCATCATTCTGTTCTTAGCCATCCATTTATTCATATTTATTTTTTTAAATCCTCACCCAAGGATATTTTTCCATTTATCTTCAGATAGTGTGGGAGGCAGAGAGGGAGAGGAAGGGAGAGGGAGAGGGAGAGAAACATTGATGTGAGAGACACCTCGACTGGTTGCCTCTCGCATGACCCCTACCAGGGCTGGATACCGAACCACAACCGAGGTACTCGCCCTTGACCGGAATCGAACCCACGACTCTTCCGTCTGCAGGCCGACGCTCTACCTGCTGAGCCAAACCGGCCTGGGCTCTTCTCCATCCATGTCATGTGTTGGTCACACTTCAGAATGGCTGCCGCTGCCGCCTTACTCCTCTCCGCAGGGGTCGTGACCTTTCAGCCTCCCGCTGGCAGTGTCCCTGTCTCCCCACGTTCTAGTCGCCTCTCCCCGGGCGCCTCGGGCCGCACGCACCTTCCCGCGCGCGCCCAGCAGCCCTGCGCACGGCGCCAGGTGCCCGGAGCTCCCTGCGGGCTGTGGAGTGATGGTTTCCGTTTCGTTCCCACATCCACCCCGACATTCACATTGCCTTATCTAGTCATCTCTGTCTTCTCTCTCTGTGTTTCACTTTGTGTATATCTGTGTGGTTTTGCTTTTGGATATTTTTTTAATGAAAAGACATGCAGGAAATATAATCAGTATAATGACACCTTAATGTACACGAGCGTAGTAAATAAATGGCTGTAGAGATGTTTAAAAAAAGATGGATGGAAGGAAGGAAGCTCATTGGTTAAGCTCCAGCTGTGTGCCAGGCTGTGTGCCAGGCTGCGTGCCAGCTGCCTTCACATTTCTGCTGGTGGCTAACACTCCCTCGTCCTGTAAGGAGAGCATGAAGTATTTCTCACTTTTTTTTTTAATCCTCACCCTAGGACATTTTTCTGTTCATCTTCAGATAGAGTGGGAGGGAGGGAGAGAGAGGGAGGGAGAGAAACATCAATGTGAGAGGGACACGTTGAGTGGTTGCCTCCCACAGGACCCCGACCAGGGCCGGGGATGACCCGCAATCGAGGTACGTGCCCTTGACCAGAATCAAACCCACGACTCATTGGTCTGCGGGCCAACATTCTAACCACTGAGCAAAACCGGCCAGGGCTACTTCTCGCTCTTTAAACTTTAACAAAAGTCATTAAGCCCTGGCCAGTTTGGCTTGGCGATTGGAGCATTGACCTGCGGTCCTGAGAGACTCGGGTTCAGTTCCCGCTAAGGGCGCGTGCCTTGGTTGCGGTTTGTCCCCCGCCCTGGTTGGTCGTGCGGGTGGCAGCCACTCGATGTGTCCCTTTCACGTCGATGTTTCTCTCTCTCTCTCTTTCTCTCTCTCCCTCCCACTCTACCTGAACAGAAAATGGAAAAATGTCCTCAGGTGAGGATTAAAAAAAAAAAAGTCATTTAAACTTATGTATACATTTCATCTTTTACCCTTACTCCCAGCCCCAAGAGTAATTACTTGGTGAATTCCTTCCAGACCTTTAAAATACACAGACACCCCCCAATCCCTGTTTTGTTTTTTAAACTTAAGTGCTGTACTGTGCACCTTGCTCCTTTGTGTCGTCATGAAAGTCTCCCTCGGTCTGGTATCAGCTACATGCTTCTCCATACATACATGAACCATAATTTAAAAATCCTGATTTGTTTAACTGCTTATATTGAAAGGTGTTTAGACTTTTTTCCAAATTGACCATTTTGTGTGGGTCTGATTCTGGATTTTCTATCGTCTTCCATTTATTTATCTCTGTCTGTCTTTATACCAGTGGTGTGCTATCTTGATTACTATAGCTTTATTATAAATCTTGAAATCATGTAGGGCAGATTTTCCAACTTGTTCTCCATTTTCAAAGTTGTATTTTAGGTTCGTTACATTTCCATATACATTTTAGTTTGCCGTTTGTACCAAAAAAACAACAGTCCCATTAGGGTTTTGCTTGGGGTTGCATTGTGTCTGTAAATCGATTTGGGGAGAATTGACATCTAAAACGATATTGAGTCTTCTGACCCACGAACAGGGTCTGTCTCTACTTAGTTTTCTTTAATAACACTAATAAATGTTTTGTAGTTTTTAGTATATATCTTGCCCACATTTTTTGTTAGATTTATTCCTAAATAGTTCATATTTTTTATGTTTCTGTAAAATGGTGTATTTAAAATTTTAATTTCCAACCATTTGTTGCTTTATTTTCTTAAAATATGTTTTTATTGATTTTTTCTTTAGAGAGAGAGAGAAAAACATTGATGTGTGAAAGAAATAATTGATTGGCTGCCTCCTGCACGCCCCCTACTAGGGATGGAGCCCGCAACCCAGGCACGTGCCCAGACCGAAAGTCGAACCAGGACCTCTCAGTCCATGGGATGGTGCTCAATCCACTGAGCCACACTGGCTGGGCTGTTTTTTGCTTTTATACAGAAATAAATTTTTATTTTTTATTTTAATTTTTATCTTTATTGTTGACTGTATTACAGATGCTCCTCATTTTTCGCCCATTGACCCCTTCCTCCCCACTCCCGCCTCCCTCCTGCCTTTTCCCACACTGTTGTCTGTATCCATTGATTATGCATATAAGTTCTTTCGTTTATTTCTTTCCACCCCCCAACCCCTTTCCCTTTGAGTTTTGTCAGTCTAGCAACCACTATGTACTTCTTAATCCCTTCACCTTTTTCACCTGTTCCCCCAACCAACCTCCCATCTGGCAACCAACAAAATGTTCTCTGTATCTGTGAGAATGTTTCTGTTCTGCTTGTTCATTTTGTTTGTAGATTCAATTGTCGGTAGATATGTATTTACTGCCATTTTGTTTGTTCATATATTTTATCTCTTTCTTGTAAAAGACCCTTTAACATTTCATATATTAACGGTTTGGTGGTGATGAACTCCTTTAACTTTTTCTTGTCTGGGAAAGTCTTTATATGGCCATCAATTCTAAATGACAGCTTTGCAGGATAGAGTAATCTTGGTTGTAGGTTCTTGCTTTTCATCTCTCTGAATATTTCTTGCCATTTTCTTCAGGCCTGCAAAGTTTCTTTTGAGAAATCAGCTGACAGCCTAATGGGAACTCCCTTGTAGGTAACTAACTGCTTTTCTCTTGCTGCTTTCAAGATTCTCTCTTTGTCTTGAACCTTTTGCATTTTGATGATGATGTGTCTTGGTGTGGGCCTCTTGGGGTTCATGTTGTTTGGGACTCTGTGCTTCCTGGACGTATATGTCTGTTTCCTTCACCAAGTTAGGGAAGTTTTCTACCATTATTGTTTCAAACAGGATTTTGATTTCTTGTTCTCTCTCTTCTCCTTCTGGCGCCCCCAAGATGTGAATGTTGGCACGCTTGAAGTTGTCCCAGAGGCTCCTTACATTATTCTCATTTTTTGGATTTTTTTTTCTTTTTGCTGTTCTGATTGGGTGTTTTTTGCTTCCTTATATTCCAAAGCAATGGTTTGTTTCTTGGCTTTACCTACTCTACTATTGAATCTGTGTAAATTAATCTTTATTTTATCTAATGCCTTCTTCATTTCTGACTGTGCATCCATCATTTCTGACTGGTCCTTTTTTATGCTCTTGAGGCCCTCACTAAGTTCACTGAGGTTCTCACTAAGTTCATTGAGCGTCCTTATAAGCAGTATTTCGAACTCAGCATCTGTTAGGTTGCTTATCTGCATTTCGCTTAGTTCTTTTCCTGGGGTTTTGTTCTGTTCTTTCATTTGGGACCTGTTTCAAACAGGTTTCAAACAGGCAGCGGCCTCCACTATTGAGCTCGCTGTCAGCGTGAGGAAGTCCCTTCTGTTCCCAGCTTGCTGAGCGGGACGCCTGGTGTGGGACGGGGACCCCTCAGTCCTCAGGGAGGACCTTCCCAGCTGAGGTGTCCTCCTGATTTTATCCGCCTCCCGTGGGTGTGGGACCAGCCCCTCCGCCCTCCTCCCAGTCCCGATGCGGCTGCTGCTTTAACCCGTAGCCGTAGGGCTCCCTCCAGCTCGGGGTCAGGGGCTCTGAGGACGGCTGTTCTGCAGTTAGTTGTCACTGATGTGGTTGTGGGGGGCCAGATACCACATTATCTCCCCGCCATCTTTGCTCACATTTCAAAATGTTTTTTTTTTTATATTGATCTTATATTTTGCGAACTTACTAAACTCACTTATGTTAATTCTACTACCTTTTTTGTAGATTCCATAGGATTTCCTACACCGATGACCAGGTTGTCTGGGAATAAAGACATTTTTACTTCTTTTCTAGTCTGGATACATTTTATTC